GATTTCAACAAAACTTCACAGGACTACGCAAAATTACCTTGCGGTGGTTCTAACGACGCCAAAAATTGGAAAAACACAATTTTTTTTGCACAAAATCAATTTGAAAACACGATTAAGAGGCATCGTTTTCGCGGAATGAAAAGGGGACAACTCGTATCGAGTTATACTTATTATAAAACCCAGGTTGTTCGTGTGTGTGTGTGTGTGTGTGTGTGTGTGTGTGTGTGTGTGTGTGTGTGTGTGTGTGTTCGTTTATATATGGGATCGGATTTCCTACATTTTTCAACCGATTTCAACAAAACTTCACTTTTTTTTAGCAGGTCGTGTTTCTTATTGTCTTGCACACTTTTTTCTTTATTTTTACATTCAGAATGCTTTAAAAATTCCATTTACAAGACAATTGTTTATAATAAAATTCTATTCAATCGGTAGACTCATAACGATTGAAAACAATGTTTTTGTTTGAGTTTGGGTTTGACCAATTCGTAAAAAAAAAAAAAAAAAAAACTAATTAAGACATGCGTGTCCGTCAACCTTTGTCAATTTTATTTTTCAGTCTTTATGATGGTCGATACTTGATCTATCTCTTACTGTTACATCCCCGGACAACGCCGAACTCTACTGCTAGTCGTTATTATATTTAAGATTGGTTATATTGAAAATAGTGGAACTTGCACTTTGCGGGACAATTCTGACTAACAAGGCAAGAACTCGCTAGTGATTTACTCTTCTGGACACCTCGTCATGGAGCAAGAATTGATCGCCCAACAACTACCTACATTGACCAGCTATGTTATGACTCAGAATACTTCCCTAATGACCTTCCGACCGTGATGCAAGACCGTGATGGTTGGCGTGATGGACTCGTTAATGTCCGGGCTAATTCGATCTATGGGTTTTATTTACTGAAGAAATTTAAATCATAACTTTTGTTTTCACTTTTGTAGCTGCATTTACTTTAAATGACATTGTTTTCAAGTTATGTCAAGCTCCATGCATGGGTTTGCATTTGAGGAAGCCGAGACTATCATTAGAAATGGTGACGAAACCGGAACTGTTGAAAAATGGACATTTGAATGTGTGAAAAACCATGACGTGATACAGCAAAATGGATTTCATTTTTTAAATAATCACCCCCCGCCCAAATTACTAGAAAACATGTCTCCAACACTAGATATCAAAAACAGCTTCCCCAATGTTATAATCTAAGTCTGAAACTGGCACTTGCACTTACATATCTCCTTAATTCGACTTATATATATATATATATATATATATATATATATATATATATATATATATATATATTTTTATAGTCTCATCCAAAGACAGACTGTTTCCTGTTGTTGCGCAGCTCTTCAATGTGGCTAGACGTCCGATTACTTCAAACCAGACAGATTTGTTATAAGTCAAATGTCTTACCCCTAGGCCATTGTCGCACGACAGAGAAGAAGGAAAATTTTAAAGTTTTTTTTCTATACGGAATAGGCCAACGGTCCGGAGAACTAAATTCGTACTTGAAGAGTAATGCATATATGAGCAATATGAGCCGCTGTTTTTAAAATCTTCTTTCTATCGAGAGCTCAACCGGATTTCCCCTGTCATTCACAGACAGACTGTTTCGCTGTTTCACAGCTCTTCATTGTGGCTAGACGTCCGATTACTTCAAGCCGGAATCGAAACCCGACCGATTTGACATCAGTCAGATATCTTATCCCTCACATCGTCGCACAGCAGAGAAGAAGTGAAAATTTAACGTTTTTTTATACGACATACACCAGCATTTCTTCCAATACGCACTTGTTTATGCGAAACTGATCCAGTTTTAGGAGTCTACCCTAGTGCGTCGGTAGAAACATAAACTCTCACTATTTGTGTGTTTATGTGTGTGCGTTTTCGAGTCTCTGTGTGCATGCATGTGTAAGTGCGTGTGTGTTTCTGTGAGTTTGTGTATATGTCAGGTTTAATAAAGATTCAGAATTGTCTCGTTTTGAGGCTTGGAAATTATGGCAAACATATACACACACACACACAAACATATATATATATATATATATATATATATATATATATATATAAATATATATATATTTAAGGTAAAATACAATTTTAAGGTATGCTATTTTGATGCTCAATATCAGAGATAGAGAGCATGTAAATACATAAATGGACACTGAAGTCAGCACCCAGAGGTGACAGTCTGTTTCATGCTAAACGCAATCATTTAATATATATATATATATATATATATGTGTGTGTGTGTGTGTGTGTGTGTGTGTGTGTGTGTGTGTGTGTGTGTGTGTGTGCGCCTGAAAATTGCATCCAAGCATGAAACAAACTTTCACCACTGGGTGCTGACCTCAGTGTCTACTTTTGTATTTACACACGCTCTATGCCGGATATTTAGAGACAGGGGTAGAGAGATAGGAGTAGAGAGACAGGGGTAGAGAGATAGGGTTAGAGAGATAGAGAATGACACACATGTGAGGTATGTCCTGAAAGTATCAAGCCATTTAATATTAACGAAAAATATAGTACCCCTTGTGATCGTACGCACCTAACGCCGCTTCCGGTTTCCGAAACACTCTGCGAAGTCTTATTCTGGAATCACCATCAGATGCTTAATCTCGTCCGTGGTGTTTTGATGAAAGTTTTGGTTTTATGAAAAGTCAGAGGTCGCAGCCGGTGAAATCTAGACTGCAGACTGATGCGATGTGTTGCCAAAAATCCATGCATAAATATAAGGAATCTATGTTTTCGGTCATTGTAAATGAGAAGGAAATAAAATACAGAAGGTCACTTAATGTCGACTGGATAACCCCACGGGAGAGTTTCTTTTCATGCATGCGCAATAACGTTCTCCTTGGATTTGTTGCCAAATTGCATGGAGAATATTCAAAATGGTTGGACACGTTCCAGACAGACCTTCGCGGTACCTCGTCAGTTTCCCCAGAATCCACATAAGAATCATGCATTATATATTACAGAAATGATAGATAGATAGATAGATAGATAGATAGATAGATAGATAGATAGATAGATAGATATGGCATCTAGGTCCCACCCTCTTACTGCTTAAATAGCTAAATGCAACCGCCACTTCCACTCCAACAGTTTCTTTACTCGCACTTCCCGCCTGTGGAACTCCCTTCCATTTAATTACTTCCAATAACTACAATCTTCAAAAATTTAAATGTAATGCCAATCGCCATCTTCTGTCTTCTTGAATCCCTTTCATCTTTTGCCCTTTCCTCAATTCTCCCTATTCTCAATCTTCTCTTTCACTTTCACTCCTTGTCCCCGCCCCCATTGCACACTAGTGGCATCGCCGCCTTTCTTGGGGGGATATGATTAAAAAACAAAAAAAGGTAGATAGAGAGATATACTGATAGCGAACAAGAGAGAAAGAGAGAGTAATAAAGATTATATTGTAATAAAGATTAATATGACTTTCTGAAGCCCTCTTATTTATTCGTTCATGTGTGTGTGTGTGTGCAGATGTGTGAATAGGTAACATGACTTTTCCCGAAGGCCACGCGAGTCAGTGGGCGTGTGCATAAGTAAGCGTCTTATCTTACTGTTCAATACTCTGCCAACGACGATGATGATTTAACAGTGATGTAGATACACTTCATTTCCTTTGTCCGAAAGCTTTTATTATCAGAGAGGAAGGATTGTAATAAACCACCAATTACCGAACACCAACCATCTACTTAGTTACGATGGAGGACGGAATTCAGCAGCTTAGAAGGACAAACGTTCTCTTCTCTTCTCTTCCAAAGAAAGAAAGAAAGAAGTTGGAATTGTTAGAGAGACGGGAAAGTGAAGAGAGTTTGTTCGACTGAAAATGAAATAAATGAGTGTTACCTGACAGAGAAATGTAAACTTCAGGATTTTTTTTCTTTCTTTTTCCTTTTAATTATGTTTTTATGTGTTCCCTTTTGTTATCCTTTATTTATTTGTTTCAAATTCTGTCGTTCGCCCTTTTTTTTCTTTTTCTCTTTCTTTCTTTCTTTCGTTGAACTTCTGACTTTGATCACTCTTTTAGAATCTTTCTTTCTTTCTTTCTTTAAAATTATGTCTTTCTCTCAAATTATTTCTTTCTCTCAACTTGCCTTTTTTCTTTCTTTCAAATTCTTTCTTTCTTTCAAATTATTTCTTTCTTTCATTCAACTTCTGTCTTTATTTCTTGCAAATTTTTTCTTTTCTTTCATTTTTTTCTTTCTACCTTTCATCTTTGTTTCTTTCTTTGTTTCTTTTTTTCTTGCTTGCTTGCTTTCTTTTACGCAATTGATTCTTTCTGATTTCCTTTCTTCTCTCTGTCAGTTTTGTTACCAGCCTTCATCTTTTTCCTACTCTCTACTTTTTCTTCACTCTTTGATTTTTTCCAAATGTTTTTCTTCTTGCTTTCAGAATTTTTATCCCTCCTTTCTTTCTTTCTTTCTTTCTTTCTTTCTTTCTTTCTTTCATTCAGATTTATCTTTCATTTCTTTTTTACGTATTTCAATTTTTCTTTTATGCATTTACACTGTTTTTCTGTTCTTCGTTGATTTCATTCTTTCGCATAATTGATTCTTTCTTTTTCGCATCATACTTATTTCAGATTTCCATTCTTCCCTACTTCTTTCTTTTTTTCTTTCACATATTTTAATTCCACTTCTTCTTTTTTCTTTCAAACTTTACTTTTTGCATTTTGGTATTTAAATTATTTCTGTTTTTCTTTCTTTTTTCTTTCTTTCTTTCTTTCTTTCTTTCAATTGCATATTTCAATTTCTAATATTTTATTTCCTTCTTTTCTATCATGTACATTTCTTTTCTTTTTTTCTTTTATCGTCTTTATGTTCTCTCCTTTCCAACCTTCATCTCTTTCTAATATCCTTCCTTTCTTTATCTTCTACTTTCTTCCTTCCTTCTCTCACAACACGACTAAAAGAATGAAGACATGGCCAAGATTCATTTTGCTTAATTCACTCATCATTGATGAAATGTCCAACGGATAATCGTGCCGACAGACAGACATACAAAGAAGAAAGAAAATAGGTGACAAAACTAATTAGAGTTTCCTGTTCCTGGTCTAAATAGTTCAAGCGACTTCGCTTACTCTCAATTCGACACAAAAGTTATTTAGTGACGATGATGAAAAGTCCGTTTTACCAGACCAGTCAGTGGATATATATGAATCACTTAGAAATACAGACAATGCTGATTTCCAGTGACGTAGATATTTGTCCAGGCGGAGATTTGGTTTGCAAAAGGTCACGGAGAATATGTATAGATGCATACATTAGGAAATTACCGCCATGGAATTTTATGCGAATAAAGCGGCGACATTTTCAAAAACATGCAGTTTAGGATGTCGATGTTAACAAGGTTTTGGGTTTTGTGTGTATTTTTAGGAAGAAGGTGAGTGTTCAATATATAAATAAAGAAGACAGAATATGCATACAAGAAATTTGTGTTTCTGTTACGGAAGTTTATTTTTTATTTTGACCGTATTGAGACAAAGTTTAATGTTGCTTGAGCATGTTCTTCTTTTTTGGTTCAGAAATTATTTATGGGAAGTAAGGATAAGAACGAATAAAAACAGCTTCGAGTTGGAAAAACCGAACCACTATTTCATTAGAAAGTCTGCTAAAACCTGTCCGAACGATATCGTTAGAAAAAGGAAAGAGAAAGATTCTGTCCTTTCTCGAAGTGGGGTCATAAAATCGCACATGTGCCCAGAAACCCTTTCCGGTTCCTTTACAACTTGAATCATGGGAAAATTAATTAATTAATTAATTTTTATTCTTTATTATTATTTTATTTATTGGTTTTATTTCATCTTCCCACAAAGAAAAGGCGTGATGTGTTTATGAGATACTTACAATTACGAAAAAGTAATATTCTAAATATTAAAGAATTTTACAATTACCGTATTTGACGGCATATAAGACGCACAGGTGTATAAGACGCACCCCAATTTCAGCAGGGGAAATCAAGAAAAAATTAATAATTAATAAAATTAGTAAAATTATTAGTAAATGGTACAGCCTAGGCTATATTTATGAGGTATTATTTTAGTTAAAGAAGCCATGATTACAATTAAATGAAAAGCAATAGGAAAAAAAGAACACAAGCCTATAAAAACTTTATTATATCCAAAGGTAAGAAAACAAAATAAAAATCAAGCAATTATTACAATTGAGCAAAACAGTGGAGTTACCATTAAAATTTTATTCATCTTCAAATCCATAAAATTCGTCGTCTTCGTTATCAAAACTCTGATACTTATTTTCAATACTACTATCATCGTCTTTAAATAATGCGTCATCTTCCGTTCCATTGGGAGCATTGCTAATGCCACACTTTTTAAAAGATTTCACAACAATTTCTGGTCTAATATTAATCCAAGCTTGCTTCACCCATTTGCAGACTTGTGCAATGCTGGGACTTTTTATTCTTCCTGTAAGTGTAAGGTTGTGAACAGGCCATTGCCATTCACGTGTTCCATTGCTCCTTCATCTTTAAGTCTAAGCTAATAGGAGTTGCCAGGTAGCTAATTTCGGCCGACTATCGCGAATTTTAAACCTACATATGGCATATAAGACGCAGGGGAATTTTAAAAGATATTTTTAGCAAAAAAAGTGCGTTTTATATGCCGTCAAATACAGTATTTACTTTTTATGAGCAAAACAATGCCATACCCATCCGTATCTCACGACACAATCGAGTTTATTTCTTTTTCTCTAATGTTCAATAAAAGTTTAATTATTATTTTAAGAACAAAGTATCTATAGACAAAAAACATTTTTGTTTTGCTATCCTCTACCAGCCACAATGATGGAGAAAGCATTACCTAGCACCATCCCCAGTGAGACACACTGTAAGAGCCATTCCGTTTCGCGAGGCTCGTCCCTTAATTGAGATGCAATCCGGCACCCTCCAAAATAATATCAAACGAGGGCCAATAACCCCAAATGTCTCCACTATCACTGGAGTAAAAATAGTGCGTAATATTTAAATTATTTTAAGCAATTGTGAAATTTTATGACGTCATGGTGTTATTCCAACGCCCAAGAAGATTTTATAATGGAAAATTAACACTAGGATGGCCAGCTCCTTTGACATCTTTTATTTACATTACGTCGTGAAGCAGCCATCTTTAATATATTCAATATTCAAGTCAGGAATAACAAGTCTGAAAAGAAAATATATATATATATATATATATATATATATATATATATATATATATATATATATATATATAAATTATGTGTGTGTATAGAGAGATAGATAAATAGACAGATAGGGGACATAAACACAAGTATTATTGCTGGTGAGAAATTTTTCAATGCATTTACCCTATAAATAGCCTAAGTGTCAAAAACGTCACTTTGGCCATTCAAGGTAAAACCTCAAATATCAGCTATTCCATTGAATATTTTTTAAAGAATTAAGTCTGTTAAGCATCTTTGCTAAAATTCAATAATTGTCCATAAGCCTCAGCATCAAACCAAAACTAGTTATTCCATAGGAATTTGTTGAAAATTTGAAGGTGTCAAAAACGACACCTCGGCCATCCTAGTGTTAAATGAAACGGGTAGTAGGAATGTTTTGAGTTTTCGTCGTTTTTTTTCCAAGGTCAGTATTTTTTTTAAAACACCAAGAAAGTAATATTTCTAATATTCGTTTATTTTTTTATCGTCATTTATTTTTATTTATTTAATAACGTTCTTTCTACGGACTTTTTTAATTGACGTTGAAATGTCAATTTTTGCTGAGTTCAACTGAAGAAAGTACAGAAAAATAATAGTAATCGAGGAAACAAAAATGTAGAAACTTACAACTACGATTATCCCTGTTGCGATAGGGATATTGGTCATGATATTGGTCAGACAGGGTACCGAAAATCATGTGGGGAAAATTGCTGGACACATCAGCATCACATAGTGAAACAGATGATCCAAAAATTATGCGGCAATAACATGTTTTTCCGCCACATATAAATTGATACTATCTGTCCTGAGGAATTGTACTTACTCTTTTCTCGATGAAAACAACATTCTTAACCTGGAACAGAAGGGATGTCGAAGAGGTTCATTTGGTTGCAAAGATCAATTACTGATAAATAAAATGACCCTGGAAAATTACAGGGGAAAAATAAAAATCTCAGCACACCTTAGATACATTATCGTAAATGATTTTGACTTTGATTTTTCTAATATTTAGCGCATCACGTTCACAGGACGTTTGTCATTTAGATATTACTTTCAGTATCCCGACTCCAGAGTTCTAATGAAAGACATCTATTTTTCTACTTTATTAAAATGATTATAACCTTTGAATCACATGTGACCCACAGGTCGTAGTGTAAATAACTTATGATTTGTACGTTCTGGGTATCACATGTGATGCATATGTTTTTTATATGAAACGATATATATCAATACATTCTGTTTGCCAAATAAGCTGAGTCGCTTTGCAATAATTATAAAACTGAAAAAGAAGCATGAAAGTTTGGATAATACACACGAAAATGCCCAGGACAGGCAAAGGGTTAAAACACTCTCCAATTATTTAAATTTTAAAAGGGTATTTATATTTTTAAATTTTAACTAATCCCGTGGTATGACTATATTTCGTTGCTGGATCAGTTTACAATAAATTTGCATATCAAACTGGAATCTACTTCTAACTTTTATAAAATTTATTAAAAAATTATATTCATAATCTGAAGTGCTTAATCTATCGTAATATAGACTATAATTGAAAAAAATATGGTCGTAACGCCTATTCTAAAACACCACTTCAATTTTATCTTTTTTATTTATCAAATAAATCTGAACTTAAGCGTTATTTGCAGAAGCATTCAAAAATATGATTAATAGAAATTTTGAGTTTTGTAAAGTTGAATGACTTGAAAACGGCTTACAGTGAAATAACCAGGCTTTACGAATTTTAATAGTTCCAGCAACGATTGCATTGATAGAGCTTATTCTATGTATCATGCCCCTTCAAGACGTTAGCGATCATGACTATCCACAATTTCCATTCCTTTGTAGCTCTTAATAAAATTTGTTTTTTTTTCTTATCTTTCCTAAACGTTGTTCCGCCATCCATTTACTCAAACTCGCTCGGTAGTTTATGTTTTGTTTTCCTCTGTCTCTTTTATCTTCAGTCGTCCTGTATCAAATTTTCCAAGCCCTCTTGCCTCATGATGTGGCCTAGAAATTTCAACTTTCTCTTCCTAATGTTAAGTATAAGTGTTTCTTTTTGCTCTAAAACTTCATCTTTGCTAAGATGTACAAACTATGGTATTCTCAGTATCCTTCTGTAGAACCCCATTTTTGTTGTTTCAAGTTTTTTCCTCATCTGTGAAGAGATTGTTCAACATTTACTGCCATATAGAAGGAAAGATATTACATAACAGTTCAGTACTATTTTGTTTGTTTATAACTGTTGTGGATTCCGGGTTGAAATCCGGTACGAATAAATCACAAACGCCAGGAATTAATATATGAAAATAATGTATTAACGTAATAATACAAACTGGTAAAGCAGGTTAGTAGCAAAATATATATACAGTCTTTGGTATTGAAGTATCACTGTATGACTTCTTACTGAGTCTACGTGCTCGCTCACTGTGACACCTACAACGCTGTTACCTCACCCCTCACTCTTCCGGTTACCTACAACCTTTTACTCTGTCACTCTCGACTCGAGTCTTCGGTCTTGCTCTCTATTTCGTCTCGCTCTTGCAGTAGTATATGTATATACTGGGTGAGTTCATTTGTATAAAAAGGGGAGAACCCCTCAACAATAACGAAAATTTCCTGTGTCTTAATATTTTGCTTAGCTTTTGGAAGTCATTATTCGCTATCCCAATACGCCTTCATATTTCAATGTCTCATTTTCCGTCTTCTGTTAAAACATTTCCCAGATATTTAGATTGTTGTACTTGTTTGATTTTGGTATCTTCAATTGTTAATTTGCCTGGTGGGCTCTTCCTTTTGCT